AAAGTGTTACATACATTGCAAACCAAAGCGCTTCCAAAAACCAGGGGACAATGATGTAGAGAAAGCAATGCCCTGCTGCCATCTCTAACTTATGCGTAACTTAGCTGCAAAGCCTTGAGCAAGTCACTTCATATGTAGCAAATTGACAAATTTCAGTTAGCCAAAAATGATAAGGAAATTTATGGCATAATTTCCTTCATTCATTATTTAAACTACAGAAAAATGGTTGACTTAAATGAGCTTTATAACTGAAAGAGCTGGTAAGCCTCTGTTCCCAAAGTATGTAATAAATGGTATTTGGAAAAAAAAAAAAGTTACTCGTTACTTATTTACTCTAACCTAGTAGATATTCAGGCATCCTTCAGTTAAGATACTTCTTTTAAATATTAAATAAAAAATATTTTAATGGCTAACATGGTGGTTGATACCTTTAATCTCAGCTTTTGAGAGGCAGAGGCAGGTGGATCACTTTGAGTTTGAGACCAGCTTGGTCTTCATGGCAAGTTCTAGATCAGTCAGAGTTACATAGTAAGAGACTGGGGGAAGGAGGGAGGTTGTACTCAAATAAATCTCTGTCATAGGAACAGAAATCATGTGATACACATTCTCAAGAACTTACACTTACTTACTCCACAGAACCATACACAGCTCATACCTTCCAACAACAGCTAGTGACCCACAGAAATTCAAGCACGGTACTTGATATGGAGCAGGTCCCCCTGGATTACTGAGGGCCAAGTGTTTTGCTTCAGAACCACACGCTGAGAAGGGATTGGGGGTTTGCACTCTCTCACCCTCTTCCCCATGCCATTCCAATCTGTGAATCAATAGAATCTCATTACTTGGTTGTTGGGTCCTCTCTGTGTTGTCAGTCACAGTGCTCACTGTCTATTATTATTACTGATCTCCTTTGTCACTGTCCGTCCAGCCAAAGCACTGCTTTTCCTCACAGCATATCTTTTCTCCTCATCACTTTCCTTCAGTGTCCTTCTCTTCTCAGCTAGCAAACAAAGGTGGTCTACTTCACAGGAACAGCCAGACAATCAATATACCTTTTTCCTTTCAACTAAAGAAGAAGTCAACAAAGCAAAGCAGACAGATCTTTGGTTTCTCTGAGCTGTTTTCATCATAATGTGATACTAAAAGCTTTGTTCATTGTACAAAGGAAGCTTTTAGTGTTCTGTTTTTGTTTTTGTTTAATTTCTAAGTATGGGGTTTAGATACCTAGCCTACAGTCATTTGAGGGCTTTTAATATTATAGAACTTTAAGGTTAAAAAGCAAGAAAACACATGGTGTTTGCTATCTTAAAAGGCAACCCAACACTATAAAATATCACAAATTAATCTTAAAAAGTTTTATTGGAATCAATTCTTAAATTAAGAAGCTTGAAACACAGCTGAGTGCTATAGCATTTGTCCAGTATGCATAAGTCCCTGGCTCAATCCCCAGTACAACACACACCTCAAAGAGCTGGGACTGGTTACCACACCTGTAAGCCTATTTAATCTTGCTATGTATATGGATGTGGCAGAAGAATTGTGAGTATGAAGCCAGCCTAGACTACAAAGCCTATTCCAAAAACTCCAAAGTAGATATGTTAGTGACCAAAAAGCACAGTAAAAAGTACTTAACATCACCAATATTGTCCTACTATGAACCAAAACCACAGTCCTACACAGTTATGAGTATGGCAATTACCTTTTTTTAAAGGTGTCACGAAGATGTGGACAAATATTCACAACACTGTGGGAAAATGAGAACCCTGTGCATGGCTGATGGGAAAGGAAAAGTGGATAGTCATCATGGTAAACAGTACGGCAACTCCTTAAAAACTTAGACTCAGAATCACATGTTAGTCAGCTTTCTGTTACTGTAACAAGCACTAAGATAGTCAGCATATAAAGGGAAATGTTCTCTTTGGCCCACAATTTTAGAGGGTTCAGTACATCTTTAGTTGGTCCTATTGCTTCCGTACCTACGCAAGGGAACACATTATAGTGGGAGCAGAAAGGAACACATGGCAAAGCAAACAGCAAACACTAGCCAAGAAGCACAAACAAAGGGAAGAGGAAGGGGCTAAGACCCTACTACCCTCTTCAAGGGCATGAAAACCTTCGAGCAGGACCTGATGATAACCTCCGACCAGGACCTGATTCTTTCCCATAGCACTTTTCTGAGTATTCAACCTTAATAAATACACATTCAAGATGCAAACTTTTCCAAGTTACCATTTAGTCAGTTTCACTGACAGATATATAACCAGAAGAAATGAACATAAGGCAGACAGATGTTCATGCACACAGCAGCAGCATTGACAGTAGTGGCCAAAAAAGTAAAAGCAAGTACACAGAGATAAAAGCTGCTTCAGTGATTATTATCTTCAGCTTTTAAAGGAAGGACATTCTGACATAAGCAATAACATAGTTCAAACTTGGGAACATTGTCCTAAGTTAAATAAGCCAATCACAAAAGGACAAATGCTGTATGAGTATACTCATATGATATGTTCACAGTGGTCATAGACACAGACGCAGAAAGACGCTCCATTGTTGCCAGGGGCTAAAGACAGTTAGCAATGAGGAGGTGGTATTTAACAAGTACAGAGTTCATCCAGGAAAACTGAAAAAGTACTAAAGACAAACAGCAATGATGGCTATTCAACGGCATGCACATCATTTGTATAACTGAACTGAATACTTGAAATTGTTGTTGTTGTTGCTGTTGTTGTTTTTCTTTTTTTAACAGAAAATCTTTAAAATACTTTTATTGAAAAACAATACAAAATAACATTCAAATCTCGTGACCGCTTTCTGGGACTCCAATATAGGTATAATCGTAATAATCAAAATAAAGGTAAAATAAATGCACCAGTGGAGATGTCATGACTATTCCTGGTTGTCACCTTGACTACATCTGGAATGAACTACAATCCAGAAGTGGAGAGCACACCTGTAGTACAGATCTTGAAGTTGGAATAAACAGGCTTCTAACCCAGATCTTGACATGGAGATATTGATGCATACTGGGCATGAAAACTTAGGCCCAGGCAAGGTAGAACATGCATTTAATCCCAATCTGATGTCTGAGTTCAAGGTCAGCCTGGGACAAAGCAAGTTCCAGATCCAGGAGTGGTGGTACACATCTTTAATCTGAACCACACCTTCTGCTAGAGATCTACATGAGGACATTGGAGAAGAAAAACTCACTCTTCTTTGTCTGCTTGCACTTGCTCACCAACACATCTGTTGGAGCTTACCTCTTCAAGATTCCAGCTTATACAGAAAAGCAGACAGGGTTTTCTGTGTAACAGTCCTGACTATCTTGGAACTTATTTTGTAGACCAGGCTGCTCTCAAACTCACAGAGACCCTCCTGCCTATGCCTCCCAAGTAAAATATTGTGTTAGGTACATCTTACTATAATGATAAAGAAAATGAAAAGTAAAATTGGTACAGAGAAGAGACATATTTACTAAATACTGACACTACTGGGCAAACTCAATCTAACAAAACAAAGGGCAACATACATTACATTAACTGACTAAACATTGGTAATTTTGTTATTGCTCAATAAAGAGCATAGAAGTACCTTTGAATGTGTACTGACCCTAGATTCTCCTCCCAAAGCTAAGCTGGTGGTCAATAAGTATGATCTCTCATAAACATAACAAGTCAGAGCCTTTGTACTCACCTAAACCATACCCCCCATAACTGTAGAGTCCAGTTTCTCACTTAATTTGGATCTCTACTCAACAGGCCCTTCTCCCCTCCACTTGCTTCATTTTTCCTCACGAGCCTTTTCACTACTGTTTATGCATTTTCATGAGGATTGCTCTCCACTCACTAGAGTAAAAGCACCAGCAGCCCAGGACCTTCTGTATTGTTTACTACCATCTTCTCTGAACATGGCACACTACCTGACATACTGTCGGTGGCTAGTCAATACAAGCTAGATGAATACAGATCAATGCTCGCAGCATTATAAATTCTGTTTTCCTCCCGGCCTGGATACTGTTCTGCCATTAGAAGTGCAGCTGTAGTCACAGCCAAAAAGCCATTCCACACAGCCCTTCAATTCTCATCCCTTTGACAGTTAAAGGGGCCAGACTCCTAAGTTTAAAAGTAGGAAAGCTTACAGAACACACCATGCCAGCACTAACAATGAAACCCGAACTTAGCCTGCTCTGACTTAGTCTGAGAATGAAAAGGGGTATCTGTCTCTCACAAGAAAGGAAAAAGAATAAGGAGAAACAGAATATTTTGAAAGTTCTTTTTGACAAAACTAATCCATGAGCTTTAAGAGCACCACCACACTGGACCTATTATATCAAAACAATCGAAACAAGGCAGTAACTGGTCCAGACCACAGAACTTTCTCAATACAGCTTTTTTGAGGATTTGGGGAAAATGGACAATACGATTTGTCTTTAAAATGTAACTCAAACACTCTTAGACAGAAGTTACTTGATTACAAAGACAGACACTTTGGGAAAGCACGTGATGTGGTCTACTTCAGAATGTAAGTAACTTACAGAAGAATGTATACATCCTACTAACGTACACATGATACACGTTTTTGAGGGCATTTTATAAGTACACTTCAATGTTTGCTATTAATGTATGCCACGGCGTTAGCGGTTGACACTCTTTGTATGAAAACGAACAACTAAAAACAACTTCAACCAGACAACTGCAATACATTAAGTGGAGGGTCTTTTCCTCTATCTAAGGTATCTGGTGACAATCAAAGGCTCAGGGACTCAGACACAGGCTAGCCATCCCAAGTCACACATGTTCCTCCTGCCTGGAGAGTGGACAAGGCAGGTGAGGCAGCCCTTTTACAAGGTCTTGCACATAGGTGAGAGAAGTGGCCCAGAGACGACACGTGGCTTCTGACATTCAGGACCCCAGCGCCAGCATCCCGCCCGAGTCTAGCCAAGGCCAATCTCTCCAGGGTCTCGCCCCTGCGGCAGGTCGCAGAGGTGGCCAGCACAGTCCTACCTGAGCTCTGTCCCCAGCAGGAACGCTGAGAGGGTAGGGGCGAGGAGGCGTGGCCGTCTAGATCTCTGGGCGAACTCCCTTGCGCCTGGCTCCTACTTTCTCTCGAGAGAGCGGCGCCCAGACCAAGTTCGAGTTGCACTTCCGGGGTCTGCAGGGGACTTAAACGTCATTACGCATGCGACGGCCGCGGTGCCAAGAACCCGGAAATGGGCGGGGCGAGCCTCTAAGTCTGTTCCTGAGGCTCTGGGAGAGGGAAGCTTGTGGTGCATTATTGGAGTGTCCTTGTCCTACGCTGCTATCCTAGGCTCTCCTAAAGCCTCGTTCTGGAAGAGGAATTTCAATATTCTCTGTGATGTTGGCCTTAAGAAAATTGCCCATGTCCGTGGTTTGTGTGATTTCACCCCGCCTGTGATATTCAAGTTGAGATAGGAGGCCTATGTTTGAAGAAAAATTGTATTTACCACAAAATTAAGACAGGAAGTTAACCCTAATATCCTAGTGAGAGCTGACTCAACTGGGAAGTATGTTAGTGTTGTGTTTATCCAAAACAGGTCTGAAAGATTCTTCTCTTTAGGTGTGAGCAATGGACACAAATGATTTAATATTTTATATGTATTTTAATCATGAAAAGCAACATAATATATTTTCATTTTGGTAGACTGACCAGAATAAACAAGCTCATTAAAAATAAACCTAAGGGGGCTCAAGAGAGAGTTCACCTGTTAAGAATACTTACTGTTCTTAGAGAGAAGCTGGGCTGGGCTCACAAATGCCTACAACTTCAGTTCCAGAGGATCCCATCCCCTCTGGCCTCTACCGGCCTGTGCACACAAGTGGCTCACATAGGCACATACAAATACACACAAGACTCTAAAATCAAATCAAGATAAATCTCCTATAAATGGATAATCCTTGTCTAACCATGAGAAGAAACATTGAACAAAATATGTACTGACTGCTTCTTCCATCAACAGCATAATAAAGCATGCATTGAAACTATTAAGAACTAAGAGTAGTCAAATGAAGTAGAAACTTAAGGATTCTTTGGAAAGTAAGTTGTATTGAAAGGTGTTTTTCTGAGACAAACACAGGAAGGAGTGTTTTCCTGAAGTGGACATAGGTAAAAGGCTAAAAGGCAGACTTGTGAAGGAACTTTTCACTGAAATAGATGCAGGAGAAAGGGTGGTCTGTAAACACAAGCACGTGAAAGGACACATGATGAGGGATTCTTCACTAATAAGAGACTGACTGTCTCTGCTAAGTAGTGCCACTGCTGCTGATTCCTGTTTGCTATCCTGACTCTACAGAACTGGACTGCTGATGTATCCATGAATTGTTTATGAGTGGATCAAACTACAGCTGCAGACTCCTATGAACTGAACTACCGATTTCCAGACAAACACAGATGGGAGCTGCTCCAAAGAACCATTTCTAAAAAGGTCTGCTTCTCCACATCCTTTCATTTTTATCCTTTCTTTTCTGGTGGGTGGTGGGCTACAAAAGAGGTTAAAGTATTTAAGAACCACCATTAAAAATAGGATTTGATTCAGTGTATTTGATTATATGTCCTTGATCCACTTGGACTTGAGCTTTACACGCAAGGTGATAAATGTGTATCTATTTTCATTCTTCCATTTATTCAATAAATTCTACTTATTAAAGATGATTTCTTTTTTCACTGTATGTTTATGGCTTCTTTGTCAAAGATCAAGTGTGCAAGGGCATGTGGGTTTATTTCTGGGTCTTCAATTCTGTTCCATTGATCTACCTGTCTGTCTCTGTACCAATACCATGTGATCTTTACCACTATTGCTTTGTAGTACAGCTTGAGATCAGGGATGGTGATTCCCCAAATAAGATCTTTTATTGTTGAGAATTGTTTTGACTATCCTGGAGTTTTGTTTTTACATAGGAAGTTGAGAATTGCTCTTTCCATGTCTGTGAAGAATGGTGTTGGAATTTTGACGGGGATTGCATTAAATCTGTAGATTGCTTTTGGTAATATGGGCATTTTCACTATGTTAATCTTACCAATCCATGAGCATGGGAGATCTTTCCACCTTCTAAGGTCTTTTTTGATTTCTTTCTTAAGGAATTTGAAGTTCTTGTCATATAGATCTTTCACTTGCTTGGTAAGTTACATCAAGATATTTTATACTATTTGTGACTATTGTGAAGGATGTTGTTTCCTGAATTTCTTTCTCATCCTGTTTATCATTGGTATAAAGGAAGGCTACTGATTTGTTTGAGTTAATGTTATATCCTGCCACCTTGCGGAAGATGTTTATCAGCTGTAGGAGTTCTCTGGTGGAATATTGGGGATTGTTTATGTATACTATTATATCATCTGCAAATAGTGATACTTTGACTTCTTCTTTGCCAATGTGTATCCCCTTGTATCTCTTTTTGTTGTCTAATTGCTCTAGCTACAACTTCCAGTACTATATTGAATAGATAAGGACAGAGTGGGCATCTTTGTCTTGTCCCTGATTTTAGTGGGATTGCTTCTAGTTTCTCTTCATTTAATTTCATATTGACTGTTGGCTTGCAGTTAAATTGTTTTTATTATGTCTAGCTATGTGCCATGAATTCTTGATTTCTATAAGACTTTTAACATAAATGGATAATGTGCTTTGTCAAAAGCTTTTTCAGCATCTAATGAGATCGTGTGACTTTTTTCCTTCTGTTTCTTTATTAGTGTGTTTGATAGATTTTCGTATATTAAACCATCCCTGCATCCCTGAGATGATGTCTACTTGATCATTATGAGTGATCATTTTGATGTGTTCTTGGATTCGATTTGCAAGAATTTTGTTTCCAAGAATTTTATTGTGTATTTTTGCATTGAAATTCATAAGAGAAATTGGTCTGAAGTTCTCTTTCTTTGTTGGGTCTTTGTAGAAGAGAAAGTGGGAAAGAGCCTCAAGCTCATTGGCATGGGGAAAACTTCCTGAACAGAACTCCAATGGCTCAGGCTCTCAGATCAACAATTGATAAATGGAACTTCATGAAACTGAAAGGCTTCTGTAAGGCAAAAGATTCCTTCAATAGGAGAAATCTGCAACCTACAAATTGGGAAAATAGCTTTACTAACTCTACATTTGATAAAGGGCTAATATCCAAAATATAAGGAACTCAAGAGATTAACTTCCAAAAAGCCAAATAGCCAAATTAAAAATGGCGTAGAGGGGGAGGAGAAAAGGGGAACAGGATCAGGTATGAGGTTGGGTGGGGCAGGGACAGGTGAGAAGCCCAGAAGACATGGAGAATGAATAGAAATATGCACCCTCAGGGGATGGGAGTTGGGGGGACCCTCTGGAAAGTACCGGAGACCCAGGAAGTGAGAGACTCACTCAGGACTCAATGGGGGTGACCTTAACCAAAATGTCCAACAATGTGGACAGGGAACTCAAAGAGTCCACCTCCAGTAGATAGATAGGGCTTCAAGTGGAGGGATGGGATTACCAACCTACAGTCAAAATTTCTGACCCAGAATTGTTTCTGTCTAAAAGAACTACAGGGACAAAAATGGAGATTCAACTGAAGGAAAGGCAGTACCAGCCCAACTTGGAATCCATCTCATGGGGTATGAGGGAGGTACCAAGGCCTGGCACTATTACTGATACTAACATATGCTTACAGGCAGGAACCTGGCATGACTGTCATCTGAGAGGCCCTACCAGGAGCTGACTGAGACATAGCAGATACTCACACCCAACCACTGGACTGAAGTTGGGGACCCCTATGGTTGAATTAGGGGAAGGATTGAAGAAGCTGAAGGGGAAGGCAACCTCATAGGAAGACCAGCAGTCTTAACTAACCCAGACCACAAGGAGCTCTCAGAGCCTGAGCCACCAACCAGGCAGCATACATGGGCTGGTGTGAGGACCCTGGCACTTATATAGTCAGGCCTCAGCAGGAGAAGATGAGCCTAATCCTCGAGAGACTTGAGGCCCCAGGTAAGGGGGAGGCATGTTTAGGGGAAGAGGACTCTCTTAGAGGCAAGGGGAGGAAGAATATGATGAGGAACTGTGGGGAGATGGACTGAATGGAGGGCTGGAATATAAATAAATCAAATAATAAAAAAATAGACTAAAAAATTTAATGTTACAGTCAAATGATTCTTTCAATACAGTATCTTAGAAAAATGAATGGGAAAAAAACAGAGAAATCTGGATAAAAGTATAGAGGTATTTTTTAATAATAATATTAGGAACTATGTCAAAATATGAGTGACTTGACCTTCCAGTGTCATACAAAAAAAGGCAGCACTGAAAGATGAAAAGAATGTACTATTACTCTATAGTAAACTGCTTACCATTGACACGAATGGGTGTTCCATCCAACATTCGGAGCTATGCAGGAAGGACGGAATCTTTACTATAACTGTCAAGTCTTTCAGATAACTCCTGAATTTTATAAAGAAAACACAAGCCAATCTTTATGTTTCCTGCTCTGGACACCTGAAACATAGAGAGAGGGAGGGAGAGAGAGAGAGAGAGAAAGAGAGAGAAAGAGATAATATAAGGGTCTTTGGTTGATTCATTGATGAATGATACTCTGGACTCAGAGAGTATGTAAAAGCAAAGAGCATTTTATTCTACAAAAGTCCAACATGCTGGGGTCTACCATCTACCAAGACAGAGGAACCCAAGTGAGTTCACCAACATGCTGAGGACTACCATCTACCAAGATAGATGAACCCAAGTGAGTTCACCAACATGCTGGGGACTACCATCTACCAAGATAGAGGAACCCAAGTGAGTTCACCAACATGCTGGGGACTACCATCTACCAAGATAGAGGAACCCAAGTGAGTTCGAAGGCCCAATTTAAAGTACATTGGGGGAATTCCAGGGGAGGGGGTGAGTGACATTTTTCTCAATCTGTTGGCTCTATCTCTTGGGATATTCCAGAACCATTGCTGGGGCCTTGGGAGCTGGATACTGTTGCTGGGGAAGTCTGGAGACTGTTGCTGAGAAAGTCTAGAAACTTGCTGACCCATTGCCCTTGCCTCTGACCACATGGTGAGGCAGAGTCTGATGGCAGGACAGTTTCTGACTGGCTGCCTAAAGCCTGGTATTTTTTTTTTCAGTAACTGACTTGCCTAGACTTGCCCATTTCTTGGAAACAGAGATTTAGGCCTAG